TGCTAGCTAGGACGCCATAAGGCCATCCCATTTATCCAACAAAAGTTTATGAATTGGGATATTTTGAAAATGTGTTTTTTAGTACTCCTTCCATCCCTAAATGATTTTCCCATTTGTGATAATACATGAAAATTAAGAAAGGGAAGGAAAAAGTAGTATAAATACAAGATAATCTTTAACAAATTAAAAGAGATACTCTACCTTAAAAAATATAGTCATTATAACTAGCTATACATTGAAAAATTCAAACATTCAAAATGAAAAAAAAAAAATAAAACTCTTAATAGTTAGCCATTAAAAAAGACAAGCTAATTAATTAGGCTATTACAAAAACTGCATATAGAAAGATTTGAATCTATGTATAGTAATTGGGTTGCTTAAACATGAACGTAAATTTAAAATATGTTATAATACGGTGAAATCTACATTTTAAGCTAGCAACTAGCAATTTATTTTTCTTGTAAATAGTATTAAGTTAAAATTTTAAAACTCAAAACTTGTAATAAAGAACTCAATTCACAATCAATACAACTAAAGGGTGTGGAAACTCACTTGAGAGACATGATAGCTACAACAAAGGAGATTCCAGTGATTGATGAGTTAAGATTTATTATTTAGGTTAGATAGAAAAAACTGGATAAAAGCGTAGATCATGATAAAGTAGGTTCACCTGATGGGTGTTCCATTTGATAGTAGAATGTTATAAACCTTCCTAAGGGAAGTCTCTCAAGTTATCATGTAAACAATGTCACAAACAGCTTAAACCATAATATGTTGTGACACTATAAACCATAAATCGAACTTTTCCCCAAAAGTATATTGTCCCATTTCATAGTGTCTCTCAAATCTCTCCCTTGTGACGATTTCATACATTTTCACCATTTGTCATAGTGTGTATAGCGTTATTATCCATGACATTACTAATATTATCACACCAGAACCCCTTAAATACATACATTCATTCAATGACATTTGTGTTATTTTATTATTATGTGAACTAATCATACAAGTACACAATCTCGTAGACTAATTTTTTATGGTATGTGTACTTGTACTAATTATTATATTACTAATTTTTATTACATTACTAATTTACTAGTATGCATATATCAAATAACATGCAATATTATTACATTACTAATTTTTATTACATTACTAATTTACTATCATGCATATATCACTGAAGTACCATAATATTTACTCCACAATTTTCACATAAGTATCAATTCACACACGAGTATGTTGCACTAGTAGAAAAAAAGTAATGGGAAGCCAGTAATTGGAAGCGGTTATTGGAATCCGCTTCCAATTCTGTACAAAAATAACCCGCGTAAAAAAAAAAAAAAAAAAAAAAAAAAAAAAAAAAAGAGAGAGAGAGAGAATTGGAAGCGGTTTGAGTTGAACCGCTTCCAATAAGTAATTAGAAGCAGTTCAAACGGCTTCCTTTTTTTTTAAAAAAAAAAAAAAAAAAAAAAAAAAAAAAAAAAAACGGGTTAAAGGCTTCTTCTTTCCCTCGTATTCATTCCCTCCTTCTAGCTTCAATTGTGCACTCCTTCTTTCACTGTCTCACCTCCTTCAACGTTCCTCTTTCACTTTCACACACCATCACAGCCCACAAGCAACCACCATTGTCGTGCATGTGTTACCCACCACAACTACAACCTTTGTCTTCGTTCCATTGAAGGGCTTGAACCACCGTTCTGCTTCACGGTGTTGGGTTCGAATAGGGCTAGCTGCTCTTGCTCCGACCACCACAACCACCATAAGCTGCCGCCGTTCTATTGTCGGCGCCTCCACCACAGCCGCCCTCCATCATGCTGCTGCCCCTGCTGCCTAAGCTCCATTACTAGCTGCAACCTAACCATAAGCTGCCTAAGCTCCTCTGCCAAGTGCACCTAAGCCCACCACACCTCTCCCTCTTACCCCACATTCCATATTTTTGGGTGAGTTTATGCTTAATTTAAATTCATTACTTATATGTTGTTAATAATTTCCCATATTTTAGGGTTTCAATTTTAGTTAATCAAATTTTATGTTTATTAATATATGAATTATTTGTATACAAAATGTTAATTCTTACCTTAATTGTATAATGTTATAAGTTGTTTTAATTTGAGTAGCTAAAAATGAATGGATTGAAAGTAAGATTAGTTTGCTTGTAGGTAGTCCAAATAGCATTGTATGAATGAATAAACTTGTGTTTTGTTAAATGTCAAACAAATGGAAATTTTTTAATGCTTGCATCATCATTTGCCTAGATACCCGTTCAAGTCTTTCTCATTAGGAGGAAGACTTGAATAGTCCCCGGTTGGGACTGTTCTTGGACGTTTAATCTCACTTAGGTAGTGAATGTATGTCTCTTTTTCGATTTTAAGGAATATCTCGGCTTAGCATTTCGTCTCCATGTTCTCCGGGTGCATATGTAGGTAATTATTTACCTACATTGTGTACTTGGAGAATTAGGGCGAAATGCTGCCGGATTTTCCTTAAAATTGGAAAGTTGACATACATTCACTAGTGAGATTAGACGTTCAAGGATGGGTTAGGTTGGAGTGATAAGGACCTTTTTGGGAGCATTCATTTTTACACTATATGCATGAACGATATAAATACAAACAATGTACTTTGATTATATGTTGCAATTTTACATTATTTATAATGTGTTGGTTTGCGTAAAGGCAATTTAAAACGTTGATGGATCACGGTTGGATGTATGGTAGACGTGATACGTTGGATTTCTTTAATGGGGTCCAAGAGCTTTGCGAGAGTGCTTCACAATATCAGATCAAAACGGGTGTGAATGACCTTTATTGTCCTTGTGTCAACTGTAATAATGTGACAATGGTCGACAGTGTTGATACAATAAGGGATCATGTGGTATGTCATGGGTTTAGGCCTCAATATCATGTGTGGGTTTGGCACGGTGAACAGGGATCGTATAGGGAGAATGTTGTTGGGAATGATACTCATGATAACAAAGCCGAGATTCGTGCGGAAGATGATTATGGTACTGATGGTGGTGGAGATGGAGATGAGGATGGGGATGAGATCGAGGACAGTGGTGGTGATCACTTGGATGAGATGATGCATAATGTTGAAGGTGAATTTGGTGACCGATGTGATGTATTTGAGTCATTATCAGAGGCTGCCAAAAAGCCTTTGTATCCCGAGTCGAAAAAATACACCAAACTATCAACCGTGCTAACACTTTTTAACATTAAGTCAAAGTATAACTGGAGCGACACTAGTTTTACTTCTTTGTTTTTTTTGGTAAGTAAGCAAGTATTATTACCAAAGAAACAACTTACAAGGAGTTGTACAAAAAACCCAAACTACACAAGCCAAAAAGGCACTCAACCACCAAAAACCAACCAGAGGGCAAGCCCTCACACTACCAACCACAGCCTATTAAGGCACACTAGCTCTAAGGCTAAAAAGTCATTTACAATGATTCCTATTCCATTTACAATTAACAAGTTGCCTACACCTATCTACTATTTCTATACAAATCACTTCACACAAAATATTAGGAAGAAAACAACTTTCTGCTAGAGGACATGGTTCCTGGCAAATCAGATATGATACACAATAGCTGATAAAGCAGCCATGCCAACTTTCCTGCAAATAGGGTCTTTGAGCTGCCTGCACCACTGCTTCCAAATTGCCTCAATGCTGTAAGCAGTATCTCTGATCTTTAACCAATCAGCAATCAAAGCAACACAATTCTTGCTATAATTGCACTCAAAGAACAGGTGGTTCCTGTTCTCAGTTGCATCACCACACAGCAGACACCTGTTGTCAGAACAGATGCCAAATCTTTCCAATCTGTCCCTTGTTTTGAGCTTATTGTGAATTGCAAGCCATGAAATGAACATGTGCTTAGGAGAATTAAATTGATTCCAAATCCATGATTTCCAATCAACTTCCTGACCTGAACCATGCAACCAGTCATAGACCTTATGAATGTTATAAGGACCCTGTAACCAGCCCTTCTCTATAAACCCATCCTGCAACTCATCTTTAACTCTACATAGCTTTTTCCATGCCCAACCAGCATTACCCTTAGGCCTATAATCCCACCAATTATGATCTTTCAAATACACAGAGTGAACCCATTTTACCCACAAAGAATCTTCCTTCTTTGCAATCTTCCAAACATACTTTCCCAAGGCAGCCTTGTTCCACATTCTGCAATTCCTGATGCCAAGTCCTCCAACATTCTTAGACTTACAAACCCAATCCCAAGAAATAGGAGGGCTCCTCGAGAGGTTAGCATTACCATCCCAAAGAAAAGCCCTGCAGATCTGGGTAATTCTGTCCAGTACAGAAGTAGGTAACAGCAAACATTGCGCCCAATACACATGCAGACTCATAAGAACAGCATTAATCAGCACAACCCTTGCAGCATAAGACAGATTTCTACTTGACCAACAGGTGATTCTTGCAAGCATTTTATCAATCAGAGCATCATAATCTACAAATCTTAAGTATCTGGAGTTCAAGGGAATTCCCGGGTATCTAAAAGGGAAATCACCTTCACTAAACCCTGTAAAACCCAGAACTTGGTCTTTAACAGTAGCAGACATATTACCAAAATAAATGGATGTCTTAGATTGATTTGCCAGAAGTCCAGAGCAGTTGCCAAAAGTTCTCAGAGCTTTATGAAGTAAAGAAATGGACTTCCTATCACCATAAGAAAACAACATTAAATCATCTGCAAAAATCAAGTGATTAAGGCCAATACTCCTACACCTAGCATGAAACTTGAAACCCTTGAGCTTCCCAACTTTTCTCAGCAGTCTGGACAGATACTCCATGGCTAATACAAAAAGCAAAGGAGACATAGGATCACCTTGCCTAATACCCCTAGCACCCTTAAAAAAAACCATACATCCCTCCATTAATCATCAAAGAATAAGAAGGGGAACAAATGCAAGTCATAATCCAGTTACAAAACTGAAAAGGGAATCCTAAAGCCTGAAGCATGCTTCAATGAAATCTCAGCTGATAGAATCATAAGCTTTCTGTAAATCCACCTTAACAGTGCAACGAGGTGGCTTCCTTTTGTTCTTGTAATCTTTAAGTATATCCTGACATAGCAAAATATTGTCCAAGATGGACCTACCAGCCACAAATGCACCCTAAACCTCAGAAACAAGATCTGGCAATACTTCCTTTAGCCTACTGCAAATCATCTTAGAGATGATTTTGTACATTACATTGCAACAAGAAATAGGTCTATATTGCCCAACTTTACTAGCACATTCCACCTTAGGGATCAAAGTAATAGCAGTATTATTAACCTGCCTCAGAAGTTTACCAGTTTGAAAGAAATCAAGAGCAGCCTTACATACATCTTTGCCCACAATACCCCAAGCCTTCTTGAAGAACTGGCTAGAAAACCCATCTGGACCAGGGGCCTTATTGTCATCTATATCCCACAAAGCCTTTTTAACATCAGCATCTAGAAAAGGCCTACAAAGCCCCCTGCTCCTATCACCATCAATCACAGGCCCTTCATCAATAACAGATTGATGAATGGAACCCTGAACAGGAACATCAGTACCTAGTAAATCCTTGTAAAACCCTAAGAAAGCATCTGCAATTTGCTCATGCCCCTGGACAGCCACCCCATCCTTATTCTCAATACTACTAATCCTGTTCTGAAGCCTTCTCTTCTTTATGCTAGCATGAAAATGAGCAGAGTTCACATCTCCATGTTTGAGCCAATGGAGCTTAGCTTTCTGTTTTAGAAAGCTCATTTTCTTCTTATGAGCCTCACCATACTGCTTCCTAGCCTCACATTCCAGATCAATCAACCTAACATTACAAGGATCCTTATTGAGTCTTTCCTACTTATCTTTAAGCTCAGCAGCCAACTTTTCCTCTAGGATCAACACATTTCTGGTTCTTATTCAAACCTTTAAGCCCATTTTTACAGGCTTTAAGTCTTTGAACTAAACAAAACATAGCAGTCCCAGTCACATTACAATCCCAAGCCCTAGCTACCACTTCTTGGAACTCAGGCAACTCAGACCAAAAGTTGAAGAACTTAAAAGGCTTTTTGAAACCCATCTCAGAATCCAATAGATCCACCACACAGGGACAATGATCCATGAGACCTTCTGGCAGAAACACAACCTTAATAGGCTTCACAACCTGCAACCAGTGATCATTAACCAAAACCCTGTCAATTCTTGAGAACACCCTGTCCTCCCCTTCTTGCTTATTATTCCAAGTATAGAACATGCCACTAGTGTTGAAATCAGTAAGCCCACAAACCTAAAAGCATCAACTTCTGCTAATGAAACAGGTGAACCAACCCTATCTCCAATATTCAGAGCATTATTAAAATCTCCAAAAACCATCCAAGGATCCATACTACACCTACTGATCTCTTCCAAATACCTCCATAAATCTTCCCTTCTACTAGGCTTATTAAAACCATTCACCACAGTCAACCAGAATAGCAGACCAGTAGCCTTATGCAGAATTTGAACATGAATACACTGATTTTCAATCTTGTTAATAGTAACAGTGAAAATAGTAGGTTTCCAAATAACCCAGATTCTACCCCCTACACACTTTGAGTAATTAGCACACACAGACCACTCATCACCAAAATTGGAGAAGACCTTACCAAAATTCTTGGCCTTCACCTTTGTTTCTAGGAGTCCAAACAGTCCAATATCCTGCTGTCTAACAAAATTCAAGACTTCACAGATTCTGTCTGAGCTGTTTAGACCCCTAGTGTTCCAGAACCCCCACCTATCCATGAGGAGGTGAAGGGTATGCAACCCCCTCCTCACTGCCATACACCACCTTGTCAACAAAAGCTAAATGCCTCCTCCCTATTGCCAAACAGTCACTGCCTTGTTCAACTTCCTCATTCTCAGTATCACTGCCTACAAGCCCTGCAAATCTGCCACCAATTGTACTCAAAACACCCATTAATCTTGTCCCATCCTGTTGAGGTGTTTGCTGAGATTGCTGGTTTATCAAAGGCCTCAAAACAGGCTTCTGAACTAATTTCTAACCTGCCTTCTGAACAGGTGATTGAACTGACTTCTGAGAAGGTTTCTGAACAGGCTTCCAAACCTTCCTAGTAGGTCCATTCTTCTTTTGATTATCTTTCTTGATATGAGGCCCATTCCTCTTTTCCATTCTCACCCTAGTACATTGAGAACTATCATGACCCAGTCCCTTACAACTAGTGCACAGGACAGGTTTCCATTCAAACTCCACCTCTTGTGTCACAATTTGGCCTAATTCATCCATGAATTCCACTTTCTCAATCCCACATCCTACTTGCACTTCCACTAGGAGCCTGGCAAAAGCAATCATGTCTCTATTTGCAATAGCTCTATCCATCCTAATTGGTTTACCAATTAAACTCCCTATCTTCATCAATGTCTGTTGTCCCCAAAACTTCAAATCAAGCCCATGAAGCCGAACCCACACTGGAACAACATCTACAGCAATATCTGACAGATTCAAACCAGCCTTCCAATGTTTCATAATCATCGTTTCCTGTCAAAGAAAATTGAGCCAGCTGACATGGCCCTCTCACTACCAGTCATGTCTTTGAATCTAACTAGGAACACGCCATTACTACTCATCGACACCTTGTCAATTCCAAATCTTCCCCACATACGTCTAGTAAACCCATTAAACACATATAAAGATGGTTTAGCACATAAAATGTAACAAACAACAGCTGAATTCCAGTAATCAACTTCAGCAGCCACATCATCCATTGTTAATTTGAGCATGCTCGAAGACTCACCCTCATGAATAGTGTTAGGGGAAGGATTATTCACAAAACAAGTACCCTCATCCGTCACATTCTTGAACTTATCACGCCAAGAAGAGCCAAGATTCAATCCCAGATTACTCCCCACCCCAGTATTCACAAAAACAGGGTCAGAAAAATTGGGGGTTTTAGGCGAATTCAAATCCTCAAGATTATCACAAATCATCATTAATGGAGTAGAATTAACTACATTTTCATTCAAGAAATCATCACAACAATCTATATTATTCCCCTCTACATCACTATTAACAAAACCATTATCCCCTATTTTACCCGCAAACGGAGAAGCAGAGTTTCGGTGAATTACCTCAAGCCATTGATTCAGTTGCTGCCTATGGATTACCAAATCATCATTATTGACATCCTTAACAGTAATACCCTCCATTGAAACATCATCAAGCCAGCTGACAACAGATTCATCTTCAAACTTTCCATTATCATCCCTCTTTTGAACCGTCTCCTTCTTCTTCTGTTTAGCCTTCTTTTTAGATTTGGAGGAAGAATTATTCTTCCCCTTACCCTTCTTTGCCTTGGCCATGCCAGAAAATAGCTGAGAAATCACGCAAAAATGGTGGGTTCAAGCCTTCTAGAGAGAGAAAGCTAGAGAGAGAAAGCTTAGGAACTTCTTTGTTGACTGTGTTATGTGACATGTTGCCTGATGAGAATGAACTTCCTAAGTCGTACTATTATGCAAAGAAACTCATGTGTCCATTTGGTTTGGAGTATAAGAAGATACATGCATGTCCTAATGACTGTGTTCTTTATCGAAATGAATATGAAGAGTTGGAGGAATGTCCACGTTGTGGTAAGTCGCGTTACAAGCGAAAGAGCTGCAATGCTGGTATGAAGGGACCTCCTACCAAAGTGTTATGGTATCTTCCCATCATTCCAAGGTTCAAGCGTCTATTTTCAATACCAAAAGATGCTAAGAACATGAGATGGCGTGCAGAGGGAAGAAAGAAAAACGGTTTGCTGAAGCATCCAGCTGACTCTCCGGGTTGGAAGAACATCGATATGAAGTTCAGGGCATTTGGTGATGAAGTCAGAAATTTGAGGCTGGGGTTGTGCACCGATGGTATGAATCCATTTGGCACTCTGAGTACCCAACATAGCACATGGCCGGTACTTTTAGTGATCTACAACTTGCTTCTGTGGTTGTGTACGAAACGAAAATACGTAATGCTGTCTCTTTTAATAACGGGTCCAAGGCAACCTGGACACGACATTGATGTTTACCTTGAGCCCCTTGTTGATGATTTGAGAAAGATGTGGGACGAAGGAGTTTCTGTTTATGATGCCCATAAGAACGAGATGTTCCTAATGCGTGCAGCCCTGATGTGGACCATTAATGATTTTCTCGCATATGGCAACCTGTCCGGGTATAAGAACAAAGGGTATAAAGCATGTCCTATTTGTATCGATGACACACCAAACGTGTACCTTGAACACTACGGCAAAGATGTGTACGTGAGGACCCGACGATTGCTTAGGCGCGATCACCCATATCATAGGCAGAAAAAGGCCTTCAATGGGAAAGTTGAAGAAGGGGTTGCGCCTAGGCCATTAAGTGGACATGAGGTGTATGGTCAAGTGAAGGGTATACCAACTGTTTTTGGTAAAACTTCGAAACCTTTAGACCCACATGCCTTATTTAAAAAGGAATCGATCTTTTGGAAGCTTGAGTACTGGAAAGAACATGATGTTAGACATTGTCTCGATGTGATGCATATAGAGAAGAATGTTTGTGATGCAGTTGTTGGGACAATAATGGGTATTCATGGCAAGACAAAGGATGAGAAGAGCGCCCGATTAGATTTGGAAGCGTGGGGTGTTCGTCCGGAATTGTGGGTCCAGCCAAAGGAAGGGAAGGCAAAGGTAATGGAAAAGGTAAGGGAAGATGGTGGCAATAAACGTAAGGGGGAGCGTAAAGGAAAGGGCATCAGTGTATCAAAGAAGAAAGATGAAAAGATGTATTTACCTCCAGCTTGCTACACATTGTCAAAGGAAGAAAAACGAAAGTTTTGTGCTTGTTTGTATGACATTAAGGTTGCCTCTGGTTTCTCGTCAAACATGAAAAGATTCGTTTCCTTGAATAGGGAATTGAAGTTGACTAGTATGAAATCTCATGATTGTCACATGATGATGCAAGTATTCCTACCGATTGCCATTCGTGGTATTTTACCAAAGCACGTGAGAGAAGCTATTACGAGCCTTTGTTTGTTTTTCAACACTATATGCAGCAAAGTGCTCGATCCTTTTACACTTGATGCTCTCCTGGCGAATGTAGTTGTAACATTGTGCAAATTTGAGATGTATTTTCCACCATCATTTTTTGACATAATGGTGCATTTGGTCCTTCATTTGGTTCGTGAGATCAAGATGTGCGGTCCAGTCTTTATGAGGTGGTGTTATCCTTTTGAAAGACACATGGGCACATTACAACATAAAGTCAGGAATCCATCCCATCCAGAAGGTAGTATGATTCAAGGGATTGTGGCGGAGGAGATTGGTAATTTCGTGGCGGAGTATGTTGCCGTTGCCTAACCAATTGGGCTTCCCACTTCCCGACATGAAGGGGGACTTGATGGTCATGGCACACTTGGGTCGAAATGGATCTCACCTACTCATGATCAGTTCTTGCAAGCTCACTTATTTGTGCTTCATCATGTTGCGGAGGTTCGCCCATATTTAGAAGAGCACATGGATAGTTTGCGTGCGGAATTTCCATCAAAAGGGGAAAGGGCACTAATGCAGTTGCATAATAAGAGTTTGCCAGTGCGAAGGATACATCACCGGTTGACGCACAATTATCCTACTACGGACGAATTCAGGAAATATGGGAACTAGATTATCGTGAGTTCAAGGTAGGTCTATTTAAATGTAAATGAGTTGATAATATTAGGCGCAACATCAGACACGATGACTTCACTCTTGTAGACCTTGGCCACTTGCGAGATAGTTTGGAACCATTCATCCTTGCATCTCAAGCTAAGCAAGTGTTCTATGTAACCGACCCAGCCGATCCTAAATGGTCCATAGTCCTTGCTAGCAAGAGAAGAATCTTAGGGGTTGGAGATGTCGAAGACGAGGACGAATATGATGCGTTTGATGATTCGCCCCCTTTCACTGCCCCTAGAGTTGACGTATCAAATGATGTAGACAAGGATGCAAATTATATTCGAGCAGACCATAATGAGGGAATACTCGAATGAGGTACATTTGTTTTTGCATCGTAATGACAATCTTCTTTTTTGCCATTTTGTACATATTTTGCTACCTACGTTCTTGTATTAGCATAAAATCATTACCTTTATCGCATTTTCAACTAGTAAACATGTTTTATATACCTAATGTGAGTTGTTAGAAGGATTAGATGTGAACTAGGAATGAAATTAACGAAGTTGGGAAAGGTAGAAGCCCTTTTTTGCCATTTTGTACATATTTTGTTCACTTCGTTGTTGTATTAGCATGGAATCATTTCATTTATCGCATATTCAGCTTTTAAACACTTATTTGTATACCTAATGTGAGTTGTTAGAAGGATTAGTTGTGTAATAGGAATGAAAATAACGAAGTTGGGAATGGTAGAAGCTCATTTTTGCCATTTTGTACATATTTTGTTCACTTCGTTCTTGTATTAGCATGAAATCATTTCATTAATCGCATGTTCAGCTTGTAAGCATTTAAGAAGCCCGGGGAACACATGGTTCTAGAGTTTGACGAGTTGGGTCAACCTACTGGGCAATGGCGCAGCAAATATTCCACACACATTGGCATCCTAACTCGTAAAATACCGATCACACTTGACTAGGCAGAGATTCCAAAAGGGTTGCTTCAAATGTTTTGGGATGATACAATGGTAAGTGTTAATTATTTCAGTTTTGTTCATAAAACTTCGAGTCAAAATCAATGCATTCTCACCGGAAAAAACAAAAATTCGTGCCTAAAAACCAAACTTCGAGCCTGCCTCGTTGTGGGTGCAGCATGACAGGCAGGCAGGCTCTGGCAGGTCCCTGCCTGGCTTGCCTGGCTGGGCAAGTGCCTGCCTAGCTGGGCAGGTCCCTGCCTGGCTGGGCTGCCTGGCTCGGCAGGTGTCTGGCTGGTTGGGCTGCCTGCCTGGCTGCTGCCTGCCTAGCTAGGCTCTTGCTTGGCTGTGTAGCCTGCCCGGGCTGTTTTGCAATGTGTTTTTTTTTTTTTTGACTAATTCCTTTCTCCATTTTTTCCTCAATTTTTTTTCACTTGACTGACATGGAAGTTTGCGATTCTTACATAGTGTGTTCAATATTCCCGATGACCTAGACAAGAGGTGATCGTTTGAAGGTTTTGTACAAGAGAGATTCAAAAACTTCAAAAGTACGTTAAGAACAAGATGGATCCATAAGAAACAAAGGCATAAACCCAAGAAAACTTTGATGGGTAATGCAGGAGAGGATGAAGTTGAGAAGAAACTGTGGGATGTATATCCACAAATAACGGTGAAGGACTGGGAGAAGTTCGTGGCGAAATCAACAACTACTACTGCACTTGTATGTAATCTTATATAAATTACAATTGTTTTGAAAAATTTGCTCACTTCATATAATGATGCGAACAATTGCTAATGTGTAGGAAAGAAGTCAACAAGCTATGCGCAATGCTGAGAAGAAAATGTATAACCATCATATGGGTTGTAAGACATTTGCGGAAAGTCGACAAAAGTGGATCAAAGAGGGTTTGTACCCTACATCCAAAATATCTTCACCTGATACACCGATTCCCTCCACGGTGACATCTTTGGTGAGTCGTGCCAATGACTGGTGGTGTGCTATGCATGGGATCGACAAGAACACCGGGAAGTACGTCATGCACCCGGATACCAAAACAGTAGCAGATGCACTTGTCAGCACCCTAATCTATGACATTTAATATAATATTTCACCGTTATTAATATTTAATATTTCGATAACGACTACATCTAACTTAGAATGAACCAAATTTTTTGTGTTGTTGCAGCTCGAGCATACGTCAAAAGTGGTTGAAGGCAAGCTCACTCCAAGCATTGAGAATGATCCTTTTACCTTGGCTTTGGGAAAACCATACCACCCTGGGCGAGTAATTGGAGCGGGCGGCAAACAACTTGGGTGGGAAAAGGTTATGGGTTCAGATTACACTAGATCAGGAAGATCTAGATCAAGTGTTAATTCGCCCTACCGAATGGATGCCAAGGAAAAAGAATCAATAAAGGTGGAGATCCGCAAAGAGGTGCAAGAACAGCTGCAAAGTCAATTCAATACTATTTTGAAGCATATGAACTTGCCAACCTTGTCTATGCCCCTGGTAACCCCAGCTGACTCATGTAGTCAACCCAAAGATGCCATGGACGATCCACTTGTTCACAGTGAGGTAATTGAATTACAATTGAGATCATGAACTCCATATCATCAAACGAGGCCTTAGCATGATTGTTTTGAACTTTTGCAGAATCCTAGTCCGACGCATGCAAACTCAAGAGGGATTGCAAACCAAAAATCTGATCCTTTTCCAAATGTTCAGGTAAATTTCAATCACTTATATGTCCTTGTATTAGCATGACGTTGGTTAATTAGGTTATAACTTGTCCTAATAAAATGTGTAGGAAGAGACGCCATGTGAGCTCCTTCACCCAGAGAAAAACATGAATGGTGAGTTGGTGGGGTATGGTAGCGCACAACCGTTTAACAAGGTCCATTTCAAGTCTACTACTAATACCCACTACATCTCCGTCGGCATCAATTCCATAGTACCTGGGTTTGAGGACTTGCCCCTACCGGTGCCTAGAGAGGAATATGACTTCATCACCCTACTTGATGCGAAAGGTAGCTTTGTTCAATGGCCACGTGATCGAGTGAGACTGATAGGAGGGGTAAGTGTTCACTACTTAGCTTGTTTAAAAAACATGTCCCATATAGCTTGTAATTTAACCATTTGCTTTTATGTTACAAATGAAATACAGTCATCCATAATGAAGAAGGTGGAGAAGCCAAAATATAAGAATGTCCAACAAGGACAAGGACAAGGGTTGACGAAGAGTTCGAGAGGTTCGGCCGCGAGTTGTACTCCACTAGTAGAAACTGACATACTGAACTCGTTGTCCAAAGCATGTACTTTTCTTCACAACCGTGTGAGCGAGTTGCCTAGGGGTAGATCTATTGAAGTGACTTTACCTAAGGCAATGTTCCACTATGATGACGATGGGATCGCACCAATTACAAAAGAGGATGCGAAGGAATTTCCATCGGGTGTCATGCTTAACATTTCCATCATTCAAGCTTTCATGAGGTAATTCAATGCCAATAATCATAATCATATAGGCTTTGCATTTTCGAATATAAACAATGTAATTAATAATTAATCCCTACATTAATGTCGTGAAGGGCACTACAGGAGCACCTTGTTAGTGGATGCAACTCCGAGGCTGCAATTGGGTGGTTATGCCCCGAGCAAACCTCCATTACCAAATGCTTATGCAACCCTTGTGAAGTGGAAGATTACCTAGAAAGGAGTATGAAGGAATCAACTCGTGGTGGAGATAAGTTCATATTAGCCCCATGTTTTGAGGAGTACGTCACAAAATGTCATAATTTAGTTTTTTTCTTTTTTCCAAATTCTGAAATTGCAGTTAGCTGAGGCGTATAATATGTTCACGTTTATGTAAATATATGCAGAAATCATTGGACCCTTTTGGTGATTTGTGTATCCAGTAACACAATCTACCACTTTGATTCTATTCGAGAGACTCCACCACGGAGGTTGCTAGTGAAGAACCTACTGAATAGGTACATATTGCTTCCCTTTGTTGATTGCCCTAACCTAAATCATTGAGAATTTATGTTTCTAACTTAGAACTTATTTTCCTAAAGTGTTATGAAGAAGTTAAACTGTCGTTCCGTTGCGGGTCCTAAGTGGAAATATGCAAAGGTAATGCCTTGAGTTAGTGATTTGTTTAATATACTTGGCTTCGGTAATGGCTACGCATGATAACAGTACCTTTGTGGCATGTGAGTGTGCCCAACAAAACAACGAACTTGATTGTGCCCTATACGTGATGAGGTTTATGCTTTTACTGTATTCAATCTATACCTTGCTTCCATTATTGCACCGAACATAAAACAAGCGTAACACGCAGGCTGCCCAAGCAAAGCAAGGTAGGCACCTGCCCAGCCAAGCAGGCAGCCCTCCCAGGCAGGGACCTGCCAACCAGGCAGGCACCCCAGCCAGACAGGCACCCCAGACAGGCATGGACCTGCCAGCCAGGCAGGCAGCCCAACCAGGTAGGGAACTGCGCAGCCAGGTACCTGCCAGCCAGTCAGCCCAGCCAGGCAACTCCTCCGACTACATGCTCGTGCTTCCACTGCATTTCGGTTGTTTTTGCATCTTGTTGGTTAATTTCTATGATTTTGGTGCTTTTCGGTGTTGGGGGTGCTACATACTGATGACAATGTTTGATTTTTATTTTCATCTTTAGTTTTGCAAGGTTGAAAGAGTAGGTCCGTTGTCAAGCAAGGAAATCAATGAAGTTCGCGACATGTGGGCTTTTTTCGTCACGTTTGATGGCATCTAGGTAGAATCGGTGTAATGGTTATATTGGTTTGTTAGCTTGCATTGACTTTATTAATTAGTTATTATATATCAACAATTATATATTTTAATGAATTGAAGTACGTATTAGTATGTTGTATTTGTAATCTTGTTACTAACATTATATATTTTAACTTTGGTGTAATTAAATATTGTTAAGTTTTATGTATATAATTAATTGTTGTTATATATATAATTGTATTATTTAGTTTGTAATAATAATAATAATAATATTATTAATTAATAATATTAATTTTATTATTAATTAATAATATTAATTTTATTTATTAATTAATAATTATAATTTTATATCGATTTATTGTATTCTTTTTTTATTGATTAATGATATGAAAGATCACTAATTTTATTATTTTATCAAAATTAATAATAATTCAAAAAAAAAAAAAATAGGTATTGGAAGCGGTTTGGCGCCATAACCGCTTCCAATTATATGAGAAACCACTTCCAATTAAATGGGATTTGGAAGCGGTTTGGCGCCAGAACCGCTGCCTTTTCCCATACTATTGGAAGCGGTTTGAACCGCTTCTAAAAAAAATTTACATAGGCAAGCCCCCCCAAAGAAAAATGGTTCAAAACCGCTTCCAATTTAGGGGTTTGAACTGCTTCCCAATTAGTTTATTCTACTAGTGATTTGTCGTTTCCTTATTTCAAAAGTAAATAATACTTGCCCAGGAGTAAATTAGAAAAACACAAAAGTAATAAATATAAAAATATCAAAAGTGTATCTATAATCTAATGGTTCGAAGCGTTAAAAAAAACCTACGTGGGATTTGAACCCACATTTTTTTGTGCACTTGCACAATGCTCTAACAATTGAGAGAGTAGGCTATTATAGAGTCATTTTTAGTTTCTTTATACATTATATATTTTAAAGTAAAGAAAACAAATACAAAAGTTAATAAGATATACTCAAAAGTAAATAAGAGAAGCACTAAAGATAACATTAGCCATATTAAACTAATTAGAGCTCAGTTTTCTTTCTAAATGGGAGGTTCTTAGAATAGGGGACAACTTGCTTCGAGGAAATATCCCCAAAAGTATTGGCAACATTATTGAATCGAAAGTTCTAGCCATTGCTTATTGCCTGTTGAATGGATGTGTCCCATCTAAGATAGGCAAACTTAAGAATTTGGTATCTCTTGATTTGCAACAGAACGCTCTCACGAGCCCAATTCCAAGTAAGATTGGTGACGTGAGAAGCAAAAATAATTTGCAACCTCCAACAATGTGCTCAACTCCAAATAACAACATTCATGTCATAGATAAATTACACATCAGTTCATGGTTGCTATTCGACATACAGCATGGTGTATTCAGATTTCAGAGTTTAGAACTTCAATAGCATTTTGATTATTATAGCACCAGTGATTCCCAAATGATTTGCTTTTCAACAAGGAAAATAGCTAATGGACTCCACTACTTCAAAATGCATCCTATTGTTAAAATCCAGCGTCGCCTATATACATTCTAGGAGATTAAAGTCTTAACTTAAATCTAGAAGGTTGAACTCAACATGAGAATACTGAATCATCACCAAGATTTAAGAAGGAAGAATTTTACAAAGAAAAACCAAATTATAATTGTACAAGGCCGTGACTCCGTGAGACCGATAGCCACTCCCCAGGCGGCCAGGCCCTAGTTCAGCCCCGACAGCCACCCCCTCCGACACCACCACCGAAACCACCCTAATTCCCTAAATTAGGTATATACTGACTCTGACAATAGCACTACTACACTAGTCACTAGATTATCAAGATCTAACCTCAGAGTAGGCTGCTTCAGTGGAGGAGCGAAAGCTTAGAAAGTCAGAAGCCGCTTGCCCGCTTCAATGGAGAATTTCGAGTTGCTACGCTCCACAAACCAAACCCTGCAACACATTAGCAAATAGCAACCAAAATTGACTCAATTATCAACCCACAATTATCAAACTTCGAAAAACCCTAAATTGAGTATATAGTAACAAATCTGACAATTAATTAATTAAATTAGGTCAATGATTACAGAAAAAGAAGATCTAACCTTTGAGACTGCTTCAGTGGAGGAGAGAAAGCTCAGAAGCCTCTTCAATGGAGATTTTTGAGTATGCATGACGCTTCAATGGAGGAAAGAGAGAGGAAACGTGTTTAGGTTTTGTTTTCTGGCTTTCTAGGACTTTGGGAGGAGAGAGAGTGACTGAGAGGCGTGAAAATTGATCTAATTTTTTTTTTTTTCAAAAAATAATAGTGTGTCACCGGACCCACAATGACTACATGTGGGTTCGCCACTGCGTACACTATGAACACATCAGATGGACATCAATTCTGGCACAAAAGGCCATACACACACAGCTCAATTCTGGCACAAAAGGCCATACACAAACAGCTCATTTAACATTGACAATGTTAAAGATGGCACCAAGTAATGCCTAAGTAAAAAATGAGGCTAATAATAGGCAGAAGTAATGCCGGTATGGCCATATCAATCAAATGAAGCAGAAACTGCTCTAATTTCTCTTTAGTCGCATATTAGGCAAGAGATGAGGATTAACGCCCATGCTAAAATTAAAGAACCACCCCCCTCCCCAAATTGCCCCTTTTCCTAATTTCATTGTTGTGATGGATCATGAAGCAGAGCTATAATTGGTATTTGGCACCTTGAATTTAAGAGTTGAAGGGAAAACTTTTAGGTGCAGAGAAAGGACAAAAATTAATGCTGAAAGGATTATTGCGCCTAAATTTTGGGGCCACAAACTGGACAAAACCAAGCAAAATAAAACATTTTAGAAAGTAGGTTTTGTACAAAATGACTTCTGAAGTCATTAAATTCTCATGGATGATCCAAAAAGATGGAAAAGCAACAACAATGCTAATATAATATTTTGTCTGGATTTATGACGTCTTTCTTGTCCTTGTTTAATTAAATCAAAAGCGTTACTATTGAGCAATCTATCAACTAAATCAAATGACGTAATATAAACATGTTCTACTTTTATTTGTTGCAAAGCAACAAACAACCTATTCTTTACCCATCTCATATAAACTCCTTCCGCCATTACAGACATAAGGCAACATTATGAATTCTTTATTTATAAGATAATATTTTTCCTATATTTTGGTATGCTTAGTGCTTCCTTGACATCTTATCACTATATTGAGACTTGAGAGAAGGGGAGGAAGGGGAGTTGTTACCCAGCTCAACCAATGTCATTCATCATTGGCTTTTTAAATGTTTCTGTTGAACTAGAATGGTCATCGTGCAATGGAAAAGTAACTGGTAAAGAATAAAACAGAAAAAAAAAAGTTTTGTTAAATTAAGCCAACCATCTTTAGTAGTTTTCACCATTGGAAATTTTATACAGGTCATGGCATTTGTATCAAACCACATGAACTCTGTATAAAAAGCAAAGAATGAATGTAGTTGTAAAACTGCCCATACCTCTCTTTGCTCAGCAGTCATGAATGAACCAGTCATATCACTAAGCACTTCTATAATGTCATTGAAAGTCACCTTCCCATTGTCATCCAAGTCATAAACCCTTAAAATAACTACAAAAGAGACAAGAGAATTTGTTTACTATAGCTACTCACTGAAATTTGGAGCTTACACAGGTGTCATTTAACAAATTGTTATGTTGAAAGGGGCATTAATACAAGTACCACAGAAGAGTTAATAATCATTCCTTTAAAGGATTTAAAGGAGAAGAGGGAGAGAGAATCTACAAAATAATCACACATTAAGATAAGGTGATAGTCACTGATTAACTCAATGACTGATAATCTAACCAGATTCTCAAATACTTAACTACACATCTATAAACAAAAAGGATTTATCCATCTTCTTACTACTTTTCTTTTACTTCCTCAGTACATTTTAATTGCATCATTTGGGGTCTACAACAACTTATTTCAAAATTTGAGGTCTACTAACGTGCCACAAATTCTTGGCCTCACAGAGGCAAAGTAAATAGAAGCTGGTTCTAGGAAGCAATAATGTTAATTGAGTCTTTGGCTCTTAGTTCTTAAAGACTTATTGTCTAAAAATTTATACAAAGGGTGCCATATTGTCACCTCAGCCATGGGTGGAAGCCATGGTATTCACTTGGTGTCATTCTAATTATGTATAATATCTTAATGATGAAAATCACTAGTCAACTTACAAAACCCCTAGGATATGTTGGCCCCACAAAATAAAATCCTTCTTCTCAAAAAACAATATTTCAATCCATATGCAATCCTAAAGTAAACAAAAACAGGAAGGATACAGTCATACAGCCCATCAGGTTTTTAAAATTAACTCAAAAAAACAGGATAGGCTATTCTGCTAACCATAATGTTGACCGAACCTTATTCCATTTACAAAGACTGAGATAGTACTCAAGCAGCTGAACAATCAAAATTATGAGGTAGCACTCTTGCCTAGAAGATGAAGACATCAACTAATTGAGATAACCATTAGCAATCCCCGATAAACATAAATCTATCAAATCAAAATCAAAAACTTATGGGCAGCTTTCTGCTCAATGCTTGCTTTGGCACTAAATGCAGATAAGAATGCAACAAAATCCTTAAAATTTAAACCATCAACCATCTTCAACAACCTCTGCATAAAGACACACCACGAATTCATAACATCAATTCCGCGAAAAAATCCTAATCAACAGTTAATTCATAACAGGCAACACGAGTATGATCTCAAAATCTGCACACTCAATACCTGAGCTAAAGGGTTCATTGCATACTCTGGCACAGACATAAATTCATCGGATGAAATAAAACTGATAGGCGGTCGCACACCTAGCAAAAATAACCTAACTATTCCTCCAAATTATGTAGCAGGGTAAGTCAGGGTCGATCCCACAGAGACTATGGGTCACCTAAATTAATTAGACTCAAGTAATTACCAAGCCAGAATCAATCAATGATGGAATAACTAAGAAGCTAATGTATGGAAAACTAGGAACAAATCAAAGAATATAATAAATCAATAAGCTAAAACATCCAAGATCAAGTATCACCACAATTACGATCGATGCAATTATATATCTACCCCTAACATACAATTCCAATGAACATGGGGAAAAGCAAACCCTTACCAATACCAAGGACCTCTCTCGAGTATCAATGGCTTCCCTAACCCACAATCAAGCCTATTCTCATGGTATCATGCAAATTAGAGACATTAAACACTTTACTTCACTTCCCAATTATCAATTCAACTACTCTCGTGATGAATCTCAAATCCTAAATTAATTTACTCAAATCCTTTAAAATCCAACTCTTATTGTGATAGAAACAATGGAATAATAACAATACTAATTATCTCTAATATAGCATTGGCATAATCACAATCAATTTAGCATAGACAATTACAATGGTTATTAGAGAATTAAAAGAATTAATTCATGCATCGATCATAATTGGGCTATCCTAGATCTTGGAATAAGAAATCTACTCACACATATTGAAAAAAGCAATAACAAAAATAATCAAAGAAAACATAATTGAAAACAAAAATAATTGAAAGAAAAAGAAATAGAGATGAATACCAATGATGCTTCAATTTAAATAACTCAAATTGTTAATCAACAATAATCAAATCTAATGAAGTAATTAAATTGCTTAAAAGAAATAAACTAGGGTTCTAGAGAGAGAATAAAACTTAAGGAATTAATCCCCGTTCTAATGATGATTACAATGGGTATTTATACCCTTAATGAGTTACAAAATCCCGAAAATAAGAAAGTTGGTTTCCATATAACTGTGCCCGGTCTAACCGGGCGGGTGGTGCCTGATCGGGCGCGAGGGCCTTCTTCTTGAATAGCTTGTTGCTGTCGAAAACACCTAATATCATCTAACTCTTATGTGCCCGGTCCAACCGGGCAAGGCATGCCCAACCGGGCACATGGTATCTGCAGCATATAATATGTATTTTGCTCATCCTTCTTTGCCCTGTCTGACCGGGCAAGCTAGGATCAACAGGGCATGGGGGAAATCTTCATCTTCATGCACTAATCTCTTCTATAAAATCCAAAACATGTTCGATTCATCCAAGAAACTTCACATTCCTATGAAACTTACAAAAATACATCGAACACACTAGAGAAGAGATTGTTAGCGTGAAATGGCTCCAAAGAGCCTAAAATCATGCAAATATACGTTGTAAAACCGGGATAAATCATGGTATAAAACTCATACATCAAAAACCTTTGGCAGTCCGATCAAGTTGACAAAATCTTTAATACAAAGAAACTATCTCTTGCTGATTGACTATATTAAAACAATAGCATATATCATATTTCATTGAATCATGACAAAATTTAGCATTCTACAAAATATAAGAGAAAATCAAAATAAACCCCATACAAAATTTATTGCAGTGTTCTTGAACTTCTTCAATATCATATTGGGTAAGAGTTGATGAAGCATTACCCATTTGCTTCCTTCTCAATCTGTGATAATTAATCAAGCAAAAAAATAAAAATCAATAATTACCATCGAAAAATTCACAAAAAATTTCTAGGAAAATCGAAAATTAAGCACGCCCACTAAATTATAACAATAAAATAGATGCATTGAAACTTGAAAAGCACCCTTCAATTGAAACCCATAAAATGAAAATCGAGATTTACCAAAACAGCAATTCCTTCAGGATTGTATTAAATGATAAATGAATATCGTTAAAGTTGAGGTAAAATGAGCTTGACCACTATTTTACAGAATTGGGACTTTTTAGAGAAGAATTGTAAATATGTAATAGAAAGCTTCAGTCTTGGAGAAATTGGGAAGTGCTCTGATATTTTGTTGATTGGAAATTTTTGTGGGATGATACCATAGTTGCTGGAAAATTCTGTGATGAAATTTATGTATAGGTAGAAATTTGTATGATAAAGTATGAGGGTGATTTACCTGGATTTCAATACAGTTGACTGAGAGTAAAGATTACAGAAATGGCCGGTACTAGTTCCGACCACCACCTTAACCGTCTAAACACCGACGCCTCCGATTACAGTCGATTGCTGCTCTAGAGTCCAGACTCATCGATTTACTTGTACCAAGGCTATGGTTTTAACCTTTAAGGGCCCACCTTGTTTTTGTTTGATCAACTTATTCGAGATGATCTGATATGAACTTATTTTATCTGATTTAAATTTATGGTTTGATTTGACTAAATCAATGTGTAATTTATATATTGCAAATTTTTTTTCAATATGGAATTAATCATATTTAGAGATTAAAAAATTGCACAAAAAGCGATTATGATATGAAATACCCCAAAATGTATAGCAGGCTCGTATATTATTTAAATAGAAGGCTCGTATATAGCAACCATAAGTCGACCACTCTGAGAGTGAAGGATAACTCAGTTGGTAAGAGCTTTCCTCCCGATTC